TTTTCGTAGAGGACAACACCGGGTATTCCTCTGTATTGCGACTGTCGGGGAATCAAGAGACACGCCACACCGACAAATTAGTGTCAGCGCGAGGTGTATGCCAGTTAGCAGAAACAGAAACTACAATCGGATTCTTTCCTTCTCGCAAAGAGAGAAAGATACGTTGTCAACGAAATAATTGGCACGCAGTCGCGTGTATAAAAGTCTGGTCGTTCGAGACATTTTACGCTCCAGCGCACGTGACAATTAAAAGAACGGAAAGATCATCGCGTGATACAGATATGGATTTCTAAAAATATAGGTTTTTTTTTTTTAAATATTATAATATTTAATAGATCTATAATAGATCTATTATAGATCTCTATAGTCGTAATATACATTTAACCGTCTAAGTGTGTAATTAATAATATTTTTATACGAGTAAATTAATTAAATATTGCATGAAAATGAAAAACACGTCGATTAATCAATGATAAAATTGATTACTTATTAAAATCCTTAATATAATATTTCACGTATTAAACAATGCATCGTGCTCTACGAAAAAATGTTTTATGTTTTTATTTTTCATATTTTAATGTCTCGTCGCTTGACGTGAGCTTATTTTCACGTTCACGACACAGTGATAAAACACAGTGATTTCTGACACGTTATTTCTAGATCGTTTTCTGTATATACAAAAAACAATTTTATATTATAAATGTCTTATCCAGCAGAGTCCATCCAAATCGTGTCTACGAATATTCATATCGCCACGCGATTTGCATTCATTATTGCCCGCTCACAAATTATTATCACCAAATTTTTTCGGCATTTGCCGAATCGACGTTAGCAAATTCTTTTCCCGACGCGTCTCGCGAATTTTCCGAGTGCCAGAGTTCAGCTCTCTTGCTCTCAAAGTATAAAAAAATATAAAAACTATAAAAAAATCATGCATTTTCCAGGAAAAAAAAATAATTTTATCTTCTAGAGAAAACCGTGCCACTAATCTAATTTTACATCGCAAAATTAATAAATCTAAAGTTTCAATTATCGCATTATTATGTCATGTGTATTATAATTAAAGGTTATTTTCAGTTTTATCGAATTTTATGAAGGTATGTAATAAGATACAAATTTTAAGAAGCATAGACGCTACGTATATGTATATACACGAAACTGTATATAAACGAATTATACCAATAGACTATTCTTTAAAAATTTTTTTATATATGTTTATATTTTTTATAATAAAATTAACAAATTTTTCACTTCTAATAGTTCCTACACTGTATATAAATATAACATAATTTCAACTGAATTAAATTTTTATTATTTTGGCCTGTTTAAATATTAAGTCATTGTTGTCTGTTTATTAGTTTCCCTGCTATATTAAAATATGAGATATTAATTGAATTTAAAATTTACAATTACATACGCACATCAAACACAGTAATTAACTCGGTGGTAATTATCCTAATACCACAAATCGGTGCGATTAATCAATAATCAGATTAGTTTATTATCACAATAATGTCAATTAAGCTCTCCTCCGTGAAAGAAATTGCGAAAGAAAAATCCAACTCGCCAAGAGATGAATGATTTGTCGATTATACAAAATTTTGAAGAAAACGAGAAGATAAAGTTAACGTTGCGAGGAAATGGTGCAGCGAGAAATTGCATCAATCTCCTTCTTTCCTCGCTCTTGCCGCACCAGAGAACGTACAGGGCTAATAATTTCTAAACCATCCTCGAACGACTCGGCGAAGCTAACCGTTTATCATCGTGGACACATTCGGAGCGGGAACAAAAGATGGTTTTCCGAAAAGGAGGTCCGAGAGATCGAAGACGAAGGAGAGTGAGCTGAGTCAAGGCTGACGAAAATGCCGTGGAAATAATGTCGAGCATACGTCACCATACGTAAAATATGAAACGAGAGGTTTTACAAAACACGCGTCATTTCACGGCCCGATTTACCGCGCACGTAGCGCGTGCGTTAACTGCACTTTTTCAGGATATTATACGCGCCGTTTTTCCATTTCACCATTTCACCTCCTCCTCCCGTCATAATACGCGAATTGCGCTTTCGACCATCTGGTTAATGCGATGCATCTCGTCCGCGTAAAGCTGTTCGACGTTGAAATCAATCCAATCGATACTCGGGTCTCGTTCGCGTAATTCGAGGTAGGTCGACGGTTTGTGATGTAGACCGGATAAACCCGAACCTATATAATCTGGACTAACACGCCCGATATCTAAATAAACATTTGTCTGGCAGGACTGGCAAATTTGTGGAAAATATTTTTCAAGTTTTTTTAGTATCAAAGAACAGAGATATTTTCGCGATCTCGATTGAAAAAAATTTAATCTCACTGAGATTGTTGACATAATTAATATCTCGGGTTTTTTACACCGTATCTCCGTTATTTTTTATTTCATTTTGGAAACTCATTTTTCATTTTACGAGCATAAGATAATAGCGGTTGTCATTTAATTTTGAGAAAACACTCTGAGAACAATTATATTTTATCTGCAATCGACAAATATATTTAGATATAATATATATATGGATAAACATATTACTAAATTTAAAAACTCATTAAGAAATTTTTATTTAATATCACTTTATTTTCATATAAAGTAAAGGGATATTTTAATTAAAGAAATAATATCAAAATTACCTTAATCTTGATTATAGGTAATAGGTCAGTTAAGGTCAATAAAAAATTATGTTTCATACTAAGTAATATTTAATAATTACTCGAGTGTATATAAACTCAAACTTAAAGAATGCATAAGTATCCTCGTTAAAAATTTACTCGTAACCTGAATGTCCCTTTCATCAGAGTACACGAAAGTTACTTCCGGCACAACTGATGCGAACAACATGGGAACGGACAGGGGTGTGGGCACAGCCCTCCAACGAGACAGATTAACATTGTCGATACCTCGTCGATGTCGATCAACGTCCGTGACACGGGAACGTATTTGTCGTATATCTGTTAACGGGGTGGCGTTCCGCGATCAACGGTACACGAGTGTTACAAGGTTACGAGGTTACAAGGTGTATTTAGGGATAAGAAATGTAACATCAGATTGACCACGACAAATTTATATAATAGATAAAGAGGATACGAATGAATTTCTTCATCAGTATGATATTTGGAACGATTGTATTTTTTTTTTTTTTGTATTTACGCTACGATAATTTTGATATTATTACAATATCAAAATGAATATCTCTAATAACCGCGTCCCATATTGTGCGGCATTAGAGAAATTTTTACAATGTAATGTAATATATAAATACAAGGGAAGAACAATATGCTTTTATCAATCATCTTTCATTTCAGTACGAATAAATTGAAAAGCTAGAAAATTGATGAACGCTTTTTGTGCGATTTTATTTGTTACTTTGCTAATTTTAAAATTTTTATTAGATTTTATTATAATATATTTTTATTAGATGAGCAATAGATAATTGATTCTTTGTAGTATTAAATTGAAGAAAAGTCGTGCGTGCGTGCGATTGCGTTCCGAACATTTTGTCAAAATTTTGTACGTTTAATTAATTAGTCATCATGCAGCAAAAATGCAAATTGATATATCGATAACATTGAAGTTTTCATTTATTACTTTGACTCATTTGATAGTGTCATTGATGGCATCGATACGTGGATCGTATTACGTTACGCAATCGGTTATCTATCGTCCCGACATATATCGGTGTGAAATTTCGAAACCAAAGTACTTCCATTTGGATACCAACGCGATTCGTCAGAATAAACCTGGCAGCACGTTAAATTGAATCAAAATTATTGATATATATATCGACTTGATACCATCATTCATATAACTGCAATCGACGCCGCAGTGATGCGTATCAACCATAATTCTGACAAAGGCATACGTAGCCCATGGTCACGTCGAGGCTTAGAAAGCTCTTTGCCTCCATTATTCTCCTCATTCACCTTTTTTGTTCTCTCTTCCGCGGTAGCCCTCTTCTCCTTTGAGCTAATAATGACGAACATGATCCACATTAGAAAGCCCGGGCCGCTTCGAGTGCAGCACAGTCAAGTGCATTGCGAGTTAGCTGCTATCTCGTATTTCGCTATTGCCAACAAGGTACTATTAAAAACTGTTAGTTTTACGAGAGTTTGCATAGTTCATGTGGAAAAGTTCACCGTGCGTGAATGCCTTCTCGGCAAATAACGCTGCGAGAGTAAAAAGCAATAGATCAGAACAACTATGGACCGTACGAGAAATTAACTCACGAAAGAGAAACCTTGATAATAGTCAGTTTATTTATAATGTCTCTTTAAATAGGAAATAACTGCAAACTATAAAAATAATTATTGTAAAAGTTTGATAAATATCAAATGTACGAGCATAAGTGCATAAAACAGTCGAAAATATTTGCCTGCTAAATATAAATATGTAGATCATTAATAAGATCGAGTCATATTGTTATCTCGATAGTTAAATCGAGAAAAATTTAAAATATTGCATCGTGAAGATATTAGAACAAAAATTTACAAGGAAAATCTAATATATATTTTACAACAATAAAAATTACAAATTAAGATTATACAGTATTCATAATTATTTCACATTATATATTATTACGTTGAATATATTTTAAAAATAACACGATAAAAAAATTGAAATTAATATACATTTTGTATCAGTTTGGAAATTTCTGAAATTAAAGACGATAAATTCATCTTTAATGGATAAGGAGGTTTTTGTGTCACTTTGTGTCTGCAAAATGACACAACAAAAATGCACAAAATAAATGCCTCGGAAGGGAGGATGTATAAAGGATGAAAGGCAGATCCTTACCGCTGACGCAAAATGGGAACAGATGAATCGATTCGTTCGTTCGGGACGATACTTGATCGATTATCGAAATAATGAACGGTAATTTCCGCGACATGAAGAGCCCATTGCGGTGCATTTCAGCGCTGGGAAGACTGCAGCGGGCTATTTAATACGGTTGCATGCGCTTTTTTCTGTTACAGACCGGCCTCGTGAATGAACGCGAGATGGACGTCTGAATCGAAGCCGTCATGGCCCCGTTTCTATTGATCCTGCCATTACTGGCATCGCTGCGCTACCTGATACAGCCGATCGGTAAGCGATGCTCCTCTTCAATGTCCGCTCGCCGGAAGAATGCAACGACAGCGCTAAATGCGAGCGCTGATGGCCATGTCGATGCGATCCATGCTTTCAGATATCTCCTTAGAAAGGCGTTTGGTTGACTTTAATCGATAATCAATTGACATGTTAAACAAATTACTGTGATTAACGATCGTCCTCGTTCACTCTGCTCGACAGCTGGCAATGTGACAAGGATCGATAAGTATAATGAACGTTACACTTTTTAAACTCGCGAATAATGTGTAAAATATTCCCTCGTGGTATTTTTAATATTGCTATAATTACTAATAATATTGCTATAATTACCAATAATTGTTTCACTTTATGGATATGTAATTATAGAAGACTCCTTGCGATATTATCTTTTTTTTTTCTTTCTTTTTTTTTTTTTAATTAACTGTAAGAGTGAAAAAGTACAACTTAGTGCTCCGGCTTAAAAATAACTTTTAATAATCTTTCTATTTACACAGACAACCATTTACGTGTAATATCTGTGAGGATATTAATGGAGAATGTGAATGATATCAAACGATCCTTGATAACTATCGAGATGCTTCCGATAGGGAATTTAGGCAACCCTCTCGTATTCGTGGAAGCCGAACGGAACTTCGTTGTTTCCCATCCACGATTTATGATCTTCGTGCGCTAACGAGTTCCTCTCTCATGTGATAAGAATCGTCTCGATAACGGTTAATAGCTAGAACAAGGGACGAGGGGAAGGAAGAAGGTAGAAAGATAAACGGGGAGAGTGGGAAAAACAAAGAATATCGACAGGCGTATCATTTTCCCGCTTTATCACCGCTCGACAGAGTAATTGACATACCATAAATATTCCCGATATTCCCGATAACGTTTATTTTAATGAGAGGAAAGAGAAGCAGATACATATCTTGGTAAATTAATAGCGCAATTGTAAAGTACAATATTACAAGTACGAATATTTGTTACAGAATTTATTGCCACAGTTTTTAACACTTTTTTTTTTCTGCGTTTCGTATTATTTATCGAACAAGAAATCAAAGCAGAATATGATACAAATGAAAATGCAGAGATACCGAAAGTATTTTCAAATATATACATTTTATATCATTCGCGCATAATATATTTCTGAAACTATTGACTTGGACGTTAAAATATTATAAAGGTAGCTGAAGTTAGTACTCTTATCGATTCATCGTGAAATTTTGCATTATTCCCGCGCGCTCCGCGCTCGGAATCCAGCGGACCGTGAGGCAAAAGTTTCGCGAGCATACGACCAGTAGTCGAATTATACGCGTTAAACCGTGAAAATGTCGGCTCCGTCTATTTTATTATTCTTCGTGTATCGCACAGTTCATCGGGCGCGAATGAAAACGGAAATGCCAAATAGCGTGCCGCGCACTCGCACGCTATATTACATTGCCTCGCTTACGTTAACGCGGATTTATCGTCGCCCACCGAATCCAAAACGAAACTTTGGCGCGCGCCTTAGCGCACGTTTTCGTGAGTACACCCTGTATGAAAACCGCAACGAAAACAAACGCTTTTAGCTGGAAGAGCGTTGGTAGTTAATTTACGGTGCGAAGATCCTGGAGCTTGCATAAGACGGAGATACAAATCTTGGAGTATACCCGAGGTCGTTTGTCCGACGAGATTCCGGATACGCTGTTAGTCAAACAGCATGCCGTAAATGTATATCATACCTGACGTCTTTAATAGTAGCGAAATATTTTATATAAATGTCGCAAAAAGTTTGACGTAATTATTACCGCGTGGAGATCGACGCGTACCATCGACGCTAATATCACCGATCCCATATTAAATGCATTTTAATATATGAATAGCATGAATTCCAAATCGTAGTTTTATAATATTCGGCTGTCACCGCATTAATATTCAATCACATCGTAGGAGCTCGAACATTCCGTGCCATTTAATTTAGTATGAAACGTTTTGCACTTTTCACGAAGAACTTCACTGGCTCGGTAAGAAAAATTGTCGATCGTTGTGTCGAAACAAATCGATCCCCAATGCCGTAGAGGCTTCACTTCTCGCGCGTCAAAATCACTCGAAATCCCAATGGGATACAGTCCGGTCCTTATCATGATAATGCATGATGCTGCAACAGTGGTAGCCGAAGAGGTATACAAGAGAAGAGTTGCAACGCAACTTACTGCATCCGTAGACGCAATTCCCCCCAAGTGTGAAGGGATAGGGGAAAGAGAGAGGGGGGAGAGAGAACCCGCGGGGGTGAAAGGGATGTGATGGGAACTGCAAAATTCCGGTACAGCGTGCGCCTCATTTCAGACGTCGACGTCTGAAATCGTAACGCCCCATGTGTACGGTATTCTCTGGGAACGTCCATTCTTTAGTAGGTCATATCCCTCGGTGGTATTTCCGGATCTTGCCATGCCCCCTTACAAGCTCACATTAGCTCACGTACACTCTCAATCACGTGTAAATCAAATGGTTTGCATATCATTCACTCACGCTTTTCCGCTAGTTTAAAAGAAACTTAAACTTTGTTAAGATTATCTGCTATAAAAAGATCAAGATGTCGTGCTATCTTGTCTTTGAAAAATAAATTAAAAAGAAAAAAAATCTTTAAAATTGGATATCTAAATATATTTTAAAACAAAATAGCATTTCATAAAATGTACAATGTGCAATTAAAATGTAATGTTTTAAATTTACACTTTAATTTTACTGACAGTTGTCTCAATAAAATCTTATATCTATAAATAAGTTGAAGAAAATTATAAAAGTAGGAAGATATATAGATATATATAAATATTATATTATATTTTATATTATATTATATAAAAAGCAACACATAGACATACATTTATTCAAAATAATTCATTCTATTTTATTTTTAGACGAATAGTATTACAGCTAAAATCACCATATGAAGCCATATAAAATATTTTTCTCAAATAATTTATATCATTTTAATTAAAAGCTTTTTTCTGTTTTTCCATAGTTCTGTTTTTCCAACTCTAAAAGTAATTCTGAAAAATATAGATATTATATAAGTATAAAACATTATAGCATGAAAAAGTACGAAAAGAAATAACAAAATGTTTTAAAAGGAGGACTGTTACATTTTCTTGTTTATCATAATAATAATTAAATGTCCATCGTAAAATCGTCTAAAAAGTGAACATGCAAGGTGATTCGACATCTTTCGTTAACTATCGAGAGCAACGTCAAGAGCTGCAGCTAATAAAATCGTTGCATCACGAAATAAGGGAAACGTAAAAGCATCATTTCCGACAAGGTGGAAGCAGCGGAAGCGTGCACGAGTAAACGAAACTGCTGTCGTTGCTTTAACTGCAGTATAGCCAGTGCGGTAATGACGAGTAAACTTAGTTTGCAGTCAGGCCTGCGAGACCGAATATATTCTACTATCAGTTTTACCAAAAGAATATTAGCACATCATTGTTCACAATACACGCACTTTTATTCATCAAGAAACATCCATATTGTTATAAAGTTAGCGCAGCCATAAAGAAAAAAAACAGGAAATTAAAAAATGAATACATATTTTTGTAGTGCTATTTTTTTTGCTAATTAGTTGCTCCATTTTCGATTCTTTTGTATTTCGTATATGTAGATTTGATTGTGTGGTACTCTATAGGTAATATTATTTTGTAAAAACATTAAATTTCTGACACGTTTTTGCGCTATGACGGAGCAATAAAGTAGCAACAAATTCTGATATATATATATATATATATTATTTTTTTTTGTGTACACTTATATATATATTTTTTTTTATTATGTGAGTTCAGTTTAATAGGAAGCTAGCCTGTCATGGATGCAATTTTTTGCTAAACGGCGAGAGCAACAAATTAGCACATAAATAGTAAATAATACTAAATTTTTTTATGAGTATGAAGTCAATTTGCAATGATGAGGGTACCAACTTAGTAGAAACAGGAACTAATAGAAATTAATTATCGTAGAGCACGTAGCAGTTTTTTTCATATGAGTAGTTGCAGTCGATAATAGGTTTCGCTGATTAAAAAGAAAGCCGTGACGAGAATTTTATGAAAAAGTTTCGAGACGATTACTCAAATTTTGATAATAAAATTTGAATAATCATGATGAATAACGATGAATTTAAGATTCTTTATTTAACATATCATGCCTAACATAATATGTTTTTATGATATATGTTTTATAAAATTATAAAATTTTATTGTTAAATGAAAAATTGTTTCTTGAACGAAACGCACAACTAATTTAATTTAATAACTTACCGTAAATATTAAAATAAGCCCATTCCAATATTTATTATTGATTTAGTACATGGCATATATGGTGAATACTTAAATAAATATTATTTATTAAAATTCAGTTTTTATTAAATACTAAATTATTGATATTTATATTAATTTATAATTATAATGTTAAAGTAAATTATAATATTGAAATTTACTACAGAAATTTATAGTTTTATTTTTTTATATTTGATACTTTATTCGTCGAATTATAATTATCGTCGAAAAACAAAATAAGTAGAATGTTTTAGCTTAATTTTTATTAATCGAATAATTTTTAAAATGTTATAGACTACAACCACACTTACATGTATATTGAAATAGTTCGATAAAAGAAGGAATATATTTTCAGCATTGAACTTTTCCTAAATGTTAACTCTCCATGTAGTGTATTAAATAATAAACTGTCTGGCCAGTTATTTTCTCTAATATGTTACATATTTAAGATAAGATCTAATATATAGGATATATATATAGAAGGAATTGTATGCGAGAATACATTTTAATTGTTACATCTCAGAGATGTTTAAAATTTTTTTGAATATCAAATTCATTTTAAACTCTTAAGAATTTTGAATTTTTATCGAGATTTTAAGCTTTTCTAATTTTAATCTTTACATCATTAGTTAATAGGGATATGTGTGAGTTTGAATAAAATTTTCTATTGATAATGAAATGAGTTTCACATTAATGTATATGTCCATGCGC